ATATATATATATATATATAACATTTATACATCTTGTTTATAGCTGTGTATGGTGAGAATGTCTTACTTTCTTTTCATGGTTGGGAATGATGCATCGGACAAAGTTAGGGTTGGTGTTTCTTAGTGTAGACATCAGCTTAGACAGCGATTCTTTGTATAGCTGTCCCACGGTTCGGAACATCCCTTTCTTTGTCTTGTATGTTGAGCCAAATGACATTTCACCCATGCCGGTCATCTGGTCAAGTCCCACAATTCTATCCACTATGGATGAAAGAAATTAAAGTGAGATTCAGACATAATACATCAAACATACAAATCTGCTCAATAGGTGAGCACAGAGTGGTAAGCCTAAGCTACCAATGACATTCAGCCCTTAACTGATCAGGCTGCTTGTCAGAGCAGTCAGATGAACGAAAGTGGCAGATTGGTGTCTATGGCTTACCACATTTTGTACATACAGCTCAATTAACAAAGTTTTAACATAAGGATAAGGATTTTTATTTTAGACATTGGACCAAACTAAAAATAACGCTTAGTTTTTTTAAATAAATAACTTTATGCTGGTGTTTTAGCTTTCAGAATTGAATGTATTGTCTTTTACCTTATTAAATTATTGTGATAGTGAGTAAATATAAAACTGTGGCATTGCTTGACTGCTAAAATGTTGTGAATACAGAAATCTGTTATAGTACTATACGGAATCTGCACACATACTAAGGCAACAACAAATATGGGTTTACCTAACAAGCTGACCAGGAAATAGTATCATGATAGCCCAAAACAAAGTCTAGAAGCTTATGGGACACAAAGAAGGGTCTGCTTACCTCTGACTAAACGTTAGGTGAAATCGAATCGTAAAAAATCAACAGTAGAACTCACGGCTATGTTTATTAGTAAAAGTAAAAGCATTTCACGCATTCACAATGCAAAGATAACTCAAAGGATTAGGACTAAAGAGCTGTGTAGCCTTAAGCAAAGCACTCATTGGTAAGGCTAATCAGAAAAAAGGCTTAAATTTGCCAGGGAGCATAAAGATTGGACTCTGGAGCAATGGAAAAAGATCATGTGGTCTGATGAGCCTAGGTTGACACTGTTCCAGAGTGATGGGCGCATCAGGGTAAGAAGAGAGGTAGATGACGTGATGCACCTATCATGCCTAGTGCCTACCGTACAAGCCAGTGGGGGCAGTGTTATGATCTGGGGTTGCTTCAGTCGGTCAGGTTCAGTCAACGATATGTGCCCCAAAAAATTAGGTCAGCTATATAATATACCAAATGAGCAGGTTTTCCCATCAATTGATTTTTTCTTCCCTGATGGCACATTGGGTATATTCCAAGATGACAATGCCAGGATTCATCGGGCTCAGATTGTGAAAGGGTTGTTCAGGGAGCATGAGACATCATTTTCACACATGAATTGACCACCACAGAGTCCAGACCCTAACCTCATTGAGAATCTTCGGGATGTGCTGGAGAAGACTTTATGCAACGCTGGACAGAAAAAAATGGTGTGACATCGCATAAGCTTTTCGAAATACTACAGCGAATGTGTGCCGCAATGTTAAAGGCGCTCTAACAAAATATTAGCCTGTAACTTTTTTTTGGGCCAGACAATGTATATACTATACTTGTAAAAAATCTTCCATGAAAAAGTGCAGCTCTTCGAAAAACAATAATTAGAATTGCAGGTGGAGAACAGGATCTAACGGAATGTAAAAAGACAGTAATAGGACAGGAATTTACAACAATTTGAAGTCAGTTTCGTGTCTATGCTGTAACTAAGTAAGCAGACATTGCCTGATATTCAAATGGATATTGTTAAAAACATCTGACAATGAATCAGCATATGTTCTTCTCTACTTGAATGTATATTATTCAGGGTTGCTTTACGGTACTAAGCTACTGGTGAAGGCCACTGCCAGGTATTTTTTTCTGTCTCGTCTAGGAGATTTCTCTTCACTTCCTGTCGATGAAACACAGCAGGAAGTGAAAGAAGATTTCTCCAAAGCCAAGGGATATCCCCTCTTAGACAGTTGTCGCCAGAACAGGTTTGGAAGATTTCCCCTTCTGTTCCCAACACAAATCAAAAATGTTGGATTTCCCATAAGTTTCTGTACTTAAGATGTTGATCTCCACCATCCTATCCAAAATGTTAAAAATGTTTTGGCTTTGCATACGCTTTAATAATAAAGTGCAAGCCAAAGAAAATATAGAATACAGGGCTTCAGTTTAGATTACAAAGTAATAAATATGGCATGTAAGGGAAAATGAACCTTTCTTTATTAGGGTTGTCTTTGTGAATTTATTTGCCACAAATGCACAAATATCAACCAACACAACTATTTTGTGGAGAGCTAATCACTTGCTCCTTCCATAATGTTTTTTAAGAGATGCTGACCTCTACTGGGTACAATGCAAACTACTATACAAAGGTCACAAATATTGGCTTTTACAATTGTTTTAACATACATTAGTGCAGGGGTGGGCAACTCTGGCCCTCCAGCTGTTAAGGAACTACAAGTTCCATGAAGCATTGCAAGACTGACAGTTATAGGCATGACTCAGAGAGGCTGAGGCATGATGTGAGTTGTAGTTAAAGCACAGTTGGAGGGCCGGAGTTGCTAACCCTGCATTAGTGTATTTACAATTTATACTCTTCCAGGTCAGCAGATGGAACTTTTTCATAAAGAAACAAAGTATAAAGTGTATTTAAATCCTATTTTTTAATACAGCGTACACTGTAAGTGAATAATAAATGTCACTTACAACAATGGACTACAGATATTTTATAATTATATGGCCCCTTTGTATGACTATAGATGCCAGCTCTGAGACAGGAGACAGTACTATATAGCATCTAAAATCCGGATTATTATGCTTGTGCATACACCTTCTTCCCGTCCATGGAGAACTAACCAATATGAAGCTAGTAATAGCAGGATAGTTTCGTTGTAAATTTGTAATCCAAGGCTTCATTGTAAATGAGAGTTAAAGGTAACAGTTAAAACAAAAAAAAGGATCTTTAGGTGTTTCATTCCATTTGTCCCCCATATGACATATCATTCATTTACGAAAGGCAGGCTACATTTAAAAAATAATGTAATATAAAACTCATTACCAGATGTCAAGTGTAAGATTGCATATATATTTGATTTTTCACATATTCGTATAATCCCTATTTCTATAATGTTGTAATAAATCCAATGACCCTACTGCGCCCCTTGGAAGAGAACAAAAATCCAACCCAGCAAGAGACTGCATTAGGTGAATGAGTGATTGCACATGAAGCTTTTTTCAAGCCTTTTAGGGCTTGTTCACACCAAGTGCGTAGCAGGTGCAGAGCAGAGCAGTTACAGAACGCATCAAAAATCCAATGTATTCCAATGGTATTTTGGGCTCTAGTTCACACCACAGCGTTCAGTTCCAGAGCATGTGGAAAAACTGCAGCATGCCCTATTTTGTCTGCTCTGGAATGCTTCAAAACTCAAGCAAAAGCATCAAAAACGCATGCAAACGCCCTGGAACTCACTGAAAGCCCATTTTAGGCTAAACAAATTATTTATTTTTTAAACCGGCCCGGAAATGCAGCAAAAACGCGGCAACACACACTGCACTGCATGTGCAGAAACTCATCCAGATCTGCTCCAGATTTGATGTGAACAAGCCCTAAGATACACAAGCAATCAGTTCTACCATAAGCTTCATTATAGGAGGCAATCCATTAAATCATGTTAGCAGCTGAATATACAGTATGCATTAAACCATGATGTAACCATATCAAAGAGATTATACGAAGGCGTTTTATTTATAGTGAACAGACATTTTAGAACATTTTTTCCCTAAGGCAATCATGAAGTTTTGCTTACTAACACATCACACACAAAATTATACAGTATTGTCTTGTCTACTTAGGCCAATGTGGTGGTCTTAGGCAGTCGAGCTACACACTGGACCCTTAAAAGGGGAATGAGACCCTTGAGAACTTAAGGGGAACTTGAGACCTCCTATCAATGTTGCTGTGCTTGCAGAAGCCTATTGGTGACCCCTGATCTGGGCAGAGGTTATAAATAGCTATCCAGTGCACAGGAATGACGCATGCAGGCTCCCTTTGAACACTGATATTATTGCTGTCAACCTGATGACATCATCACAATATTCTTGTTTGGAATCCTTGCTTTAACAGACTCCATTGGAATGAAGGGGCTTTCTGTACTGAGTGTTGATTACCAGTTACAGCATTGCAATGTTACACTTGATATCCGAGTGAGATTCATGATAACAAGGTCGTTTTTATAAAACCAGCATATTTCATTTTATTTAGAGCTTTAAGGTTATATAGCATGCCCTTAATATTGCTTTTTATAGCTCAATAAAGCAGAACAAGAACAGACAAAGCTGAAAGTGAGACAGAAATGATACAAGCAAACTGTGTTCAAACATCTATTGTATCAGAGCATGCTGGGAATGAATCATCGCTGCTAACGGGATGCCAATATTATAAAACTGACATAGAGCTGAGTAACCTACTTTCACCTGGGCCCTGTGGCAGCACAGCGTAGGTGTCAAAGAAATAAACCGCCTGAATGTTCTGGATATCTGAAGGAATGCAGCATGGCAGTGTAGGGAAGGGACATGGTGTGGAGAGGCAATAATTGTCATAAGGTAATAAGAATGTGACCAAGCCAATAACAGAAAATTACATGTTTGTTATCATTTAGTTGGCAGAACAACATTTTTAAGTAACATGAAAAAATGAATATATAAGAAAGCAATATGATATGAAAAGTAATGTTTATCATGTGTGAATACAATGACATGGTGATATTGGGTTATATGTGCAAGGAAAAGCAAAGCAAGGGAGAAAAAAAGAGTAAAGAACAAGTTAGAAGATAGAGAACTCAGAAGCATATTAGTTGCATCTATCCCACATAATAAACACACAACACTGTTAAATAAAATACAATGAGGGGGATTTATCAAAACAGGAGCAGACACAATCTGAAGCAGTTACCCAGGGCAACCAATCAGCTTCTCTCTTCAGTTAAGATTTGAAAATGAAAGAGAGAAGCCGATTGGTTGCCGTGCACAGCTGCTCCAGATTTTGTCTGCTCCAGTTTTGATAAATCCCCCCCAATGTAAGTATATCCCGAAATTAGATGATATCATTCATATAACGAAACTGGAAAAGTGACAAGCGAGGTGTAATATTCCACAACTGGAACTGACCAAAACCCATATTAGAACTTAAAGTGTCACTAAAATCAGGAGTTAAATCTTGAAAATGCATTCAAGGACCCTAACCAATAAAAAAATGTATCCTTTTTGTGTATCACTTGGCTGAAGATCCTCAAATCACCTCTGAATTGGTGCTGACACCGTCCTTCCTTCTGGAGGGTGGCTACTTTTATTCCCCCATGGTCCCTGTGTGTGTTATAAAGTAGTCACCGCTCCAAGCTCACTCCTGTGTGTTAAAAATTAAGGTACTTGAATGCATTTTTAAGATTAAACTGAGTTTAGAGTCACTTTAACTCTCACACATCTAGTTACAGCAATTGAGACTTGCTTGTGTGCTATAGGTTACTGCCCTTTACATATCAGAAGATGGGCAACAGCAAACAACTTAGATGCAAACAGTGGTTAACTGAGCCAATGTAACCTTGAGCCATTTTACTAGCATCTGCCTAGTAAGAGCATTTGAGTTAAAAACGTTGTATATTTATGTCGGGGCTTATCCAGTTGATGGCAAAAATCGAAGCAATTTTATTAGTACGACTACACAAACGGCAAAAGATGATTTCTCATTGGTTATATTGGGGTGCAGTAAATAAATGTTACTTTGCACTTTGTTTAGCCTTTGGAAAGCAAGATATTGACTAATGCTTTGGCCAGGTAATTACTCATCAATAAAATGCATAGATGCTGGCTGGCGGGTTTGGTAACCTAAACTATACAAATTATTTCCAGTTTAAGATTAAAGAGGTTTTTGGCTTAAATGTAAACTCCCATCTACATTTAATCCCTTCTGTGTAGCTGCTTGCAGCTGAAATCTGAAACTGACACTACTGGTCCAGTAAAACAGCGGTGGGAGCATCAAAGCATTCTGATCTAAAACAAGAATCAAATACAGGGACTGCCTCTTTTTAAAGGGGAACTATGGGGTCAGTGTTTTTCCCCATAGTTCTCCTAAGGGTCACGGGAAGACATAAACTAGCGTCCTCCCGTGACCCAAAGCTCAGTACATCGCGAGCTACAGCTCGCGGTATACTGAGACCGCCGCAGCCGGGACGGATCCCGACATTACTGTCCAGATCCCCCCAGCTGCGTGATTGACAGCTGGCTCTGCCTATCTAGAGGAAAAGCCAGCTGTACTCGCCCCCTCCCCTGTCTGTTCCGCCAGTCAGCGCTGGAGGATCGGAGCGGGGGGAATCCCTGCAGGGAGCCGTGAGTGACAGTCACGGGTCTCTGCAGGGACATGATCGAGAAGTGAGCGAGCGGCGGTATGTGTTCGCTCACTTCCCGATCTATTGAGCCAGTTTCATTGTCACAAGTCGGCTCGAACTATCAGGTTGAGTGAAAATCACTCACCTCATAGTTCTCCTTTAAGTCAGTACACCTGTCACTAACTTAACCTTAGAAACTCAACATTTCTGCCGAGCAGCCAGAACATATCTCTGTGTCATCTCAGAGCTGGTCTTGTGAACCCGAGGAAGCCTCAAGCCCGGCTGCACTCCAAGTCATAACCAACTTCTCCAAGTCATAACTCTGGGATGTCCACCACCATCTCACAATAGAGTATAAACACCTCCATGGAAAAACATACGTTGGTAAGCAGGATGTGGTTGATTAGCTAGCACACCAACTTGGAGGTGAAGACATTTCTGCATTCTGTACATGTCCAGTGTTGGGGCACCTGTGGAGCACAGGGCCAGCTAAGAGAAGAAATATGTGTGCTGGCACATTTGGGGAGTGAAGATTTCCATTGAGAAGGTGTGGTTGGTCACAGCACAGATATCAACACAAATACTTCACGCCTTGCACTAAGGTACAAGAAACTACTGCACACATCTACCATTCTTTCATCAACATTTCTTCTTCACTCACCATCTTTCCAGAGCTCTGCTGTAAATTTGTCTGTACTCTGATGAAGAAGAGTGGCCACGTTATCATTCAGAGGGTCCATGTTCTTCATGAGCCATTCGTCTGCTTTATAGTCCACCTATCAAAAGCCCAAGATAATAAAATATGTAGACATGCTCATTGTTATCATACAGCAGACCTGTAATTTTCAGGACACTGCACACTTGTATCATGCAACAACCTTAATAAATTCAACTTGTTTTGGCCTTTGTATTGAAGACATAAGCAATGCTGGCAGGATCAGCAAGTCATTTTGAACGATTATCGAGCAGATAAACACTTTTGATGGTATATGTACCAGACCAAAAAGGAACTTAAAAGGAGAACTATGAGAGGAGTGATTTCCACTCACCTCATAGTTCTAGCCGACTCGTGACAATGAGACTGTCACAGGTCGGCTCAGTAGATCGGGAGGTGAGCGAACACATACCAGGTTCGCTCACCTCTCGATCCTGTCACGGCTCTCTGCCGTGACAGGGGGAAGGGCTGGATTCCCCTCTCCCTGCTCCGATCTGCCAGCGCTGACTGGCGGAACGGACGGGGGAGGGGGCGGGTACAGCTGGCTCTGCCTCTAGATAGGCAGAGCCAGCTGTCACTCACGCAGCTGGGCGGATCCCGTCGTCTACGTCGGGATCCGCTCCAGCTGCGGCGTCTTAGTATACCGCGAGCTGTAGCTCACGGTATACTGAGCTTAGGGTGATGGGAGGACGCTAGTTTGTGTCCTCCCGTTACCCTAAGGAGAACTATGGGGAAAAACACTGACCCCATAGTTCTCCTTTAATAAGATAATTTAATTGCTATGGTTTGCATTTACTATATATACACATATGCCCTGTAGATGTGAACTGCAAAGCTAGGCAGCATGTTATATTTTCCCCCCTTTTCTAATCCTCATGGGTATTATCTGTGTATGTGCCTTCAGCTATTTTATAAAGGTAACAAATAAAGCATTCATGATGCTTCACAATACAGCCATGACAATGTGACTCACCTTGCCAGCATAATGGATTATAGACAGATCAGCCTTGTCTCGCAGTTGTCTAGGCTTCTGGAATTTAGGATGAGTGCCAAGTTCTTGGATAACCTTCTCCACAAAACTTTTATCAGTGGCTTTGGGGAACCAGCACTCTTCATCCAGCAGTGACAGGACGCCTGGAGGATTGGCCTGAAAGACAAGGACACTAATCTAAGAATGTTCTTTCATTTGTCGCTTTTTGTTAAATGTGTCAAGCAGTTTTACTGCAGTTTACGGTGTTCTTCTATATCATTTTCAAACAAGCTTAGTTCCTTCTACTTTGCAGCTTTTGTCCAGTTATGGGCAAGTCTGTTTTTAGAATGGGGGTGGAACTGGGAACTTTGTCTTATTGTTTGCAATGGAAATCACATGAACTCAATACGTTCACCCCACGGTCCAGAACATTAACAGCAATACGGATGTGTAAAGACCTATTTTGGTGTCGCTGTTAATCGAGGTTGAAAAGCATTGTGTAGCTCATAAATGCTGAAGCCTTCTCCAATCTACTAAAAATTTGTTTTTGTGTATGGTGAGATAGGGACCGTAGATTGTAAGCTCCTTGAGGGCAGGGACTGATGTTAATGTGCACATGTGAACGCTGTGTAAACTTGCCAGCGCTATATAAATACCATTAAAAATAAAATAAAATAATTGTCTGAGCCTTCAATATGGAGACTATTTTCCTCACTTCCTGTCAATAGAGGACTTTATTTAATCTACTGATATTACAAATGTAACAGAAACCAGATAACACATTTCAGGGGGGGGGGGGGGGGTTGGGGACAAGATTCCCCTTCATCAGGGCTTTGACACCAATTTTATGTGTAATGGACACTATGCCTGGGCAGAGTGAAGATGTCAGCAATGATTGTCTGCATTGGAGATCTGTGCAGTATAACTTGGCAGAGCCTCTAACAGGTATTGGCTACAGTATAAAGTTGTGCATCACAGTATATAGCTCCTAATAGCACTGCTTTCTGCACAGCAAACATAAGGCATGGATTTTGCAGGTGAGAATTAACAACCTAGAAGCCCACAGCCTTCGGGTTATATTTTTATATACATAAAAATGTATTCATCACATAAAATAATATCTTTATAAAAAATATCTATTTATAATATCTATAATGGTCCTTGGTGTGTTGTGCTGCAGAAAAAAAGAGATAAGAGGTTGAAATCGTTTCTTCTTACCAGTCTCTCAATGAGATCAATGCAGGGTTGCAGGTCCAGGCCAAAATCGATGAAGCTCCACTCAATGCCTTCCCGCTGGTATTCCTCTTGTTCCAGAATGAACATGGTGTGATTGAAGAGCTGCTGCAGTTTCTCATTTGTGTAATTAATACAAAGCTGCTCAAATGAGTTCAGCTGCAAAAAAAAATATTTGTTATTATGATATTATATCATGTATATAATATTATGAAACCAAAGCTTTACCCAGCTGTAGCATCATGTTTTAATAGCAAACTGGGTGCGGGAGCTAGGTGGTGCTGATAGGGCCACCCACAGCTGGAAATTGGGGTGACTGTGCAGGAAACTCGAGTCATATAGGATATGCTTTCATTGTAAACTCAATAAAATCTATATGTGAAAATTCAGCAGAGGTTTACATACTATAAAAACACCGGATGCATAAGCAAGTCACAGGCTGCTTCGAATGGAATAAAAATATATATTATTTTCTTATTAAGGGTAAAATGGACTGTGGCTGATACTTTATATCAACATATGTTAAGAAATATCAATCTCCATATAGTGGCAAATCTACACAAATACCAAAGAGCAAGTGGATGAAAATGCAAAGGAAACATAATATGTTACTATCAGGGCCTACTTACCCCTACAGCATAATACACATTAAGGTGTGTTGAGTTGGACCTCCCATTAATTTTGCAAGGGCTGTCAATGCACCTCAAAGCACAAAAAAATCAGTCTTGTGCTATTTTATTAAGAGCAGCAAGCTGCAATGTACTGTACATGTGCATCTGTGTATTGTGGTGTACTGCAGCACAGTATACATGTGCATTGGAGAGCAATTAGCAACGACTAGCAATGTACTACAAATATCATGCAATATTAACTGGAAATATGTGCTCACTGAAAACACATCATAATATTTCTTTAAAGGGTTTCTGACATGAGATTGGGACACCACATAAGTAAGAAGCCCATTATATGTGGAGAAAATGAAATGCATTCACAGGAGATGCCAAACAACTTGGCCTTAGCTGTTTTCACATAAAAATTGCATCAATACTAAATTAACTAAACGTCCAGGGAGACGGTTCTGCTTTAACCTCTATAACCACTTTGAAGACATTGCCTGGACTATACACACACTGGGCTAGTTCAGTACAGCGAAGAACAATATGCACTTTGCCCTGTGTCTGCCATCCCGATGTAATGCAGACAATGGAATGGTACCTCACATCAATGTCTTTTGGTGCTACACTGAGTGTTTTTGGCCCCACTGACTTCAAAAGGACAACATGGAAACACATGTACATATGTTCTGGTGCATTTTTGTACCAAGTCTCCTCAAAGGAAAATGATGCCTAATGATGTCATAGCAGCTATTGCTTGTCACTGGACAAAAGACAACTGCACGAAGCATAAAAATGCAGAATTATGCAGAAATTCCATTGTGAACCCAGGCGTAATGATCTGATTGCAGTAAAATAAAATTCCACTGGGTGGCCCTCAGTTACTGCAATATGCATATCAGCATGGCACCTTGCATATTGCTGAGAGAAGTCACAGCCATATTTCAGTGTAAACTTTTATGTTGTTATAAGTCAAATAATTGGTAAAGAAGGCTGACTCTCTGGCTCTTGTTAGTCCTCACGGAAACAGTAAGGTAAATATTGCGTACAGTCCCTCCCTCACACCATGAATGGGCCATCAGCTAAGTAGATCCTAAGCTGCAGCCTCCTTCTATTATATAAGCTTCAAGAAGCCTCACTATAAAAAATAAAACATTCCTGCACACTGGGACTACATGTGGAGGCAGGATATTCTCATTATTATCCTCTGCCTTCAATCACATCAAAATTGCCCAGAGAGCAAGAAAACAAATGTAGACAGCTGCACACAAACAGCATGTAATAATACAAATGAGCGAAAACCTTGTATATAAAAAATATATATATATCACAACTTCATGTTTACCTCAAAGATTTCAAAGCCAGCTATGTCCAGGATCCCTATGAATGATGCACCTTGTCTTTTGGTCCTATCCAGTGCTCTGTTGAGGCGATGGACCAACCAGCGGAAAAGCCTTTCATATAGCGCTTTAGCAAGTGCCTCCACAGCAAAGTCAGCCTGAAGAGGAAAAAATGCAGGCATCACTGTCATTGTACATTCCTGTCCAGGAAATGCATGCCATATAGTATAAATAATGTAAATTGAACAAAGCTCACCTGTTCCTTAGTCTGTGCCTTCTGGACATAATCACGGCCAACTTTAATCTTTGGCATCAGGATGGCACGTGTAAACTCTGTCACATTTAGGCCCAAAAGATGGCAAAGTTTCTGTGCGGCTACATAAAAGCAAAAATATGTTTTAAAAAGATTACCAACCAATGGGAATGTTGATGAATACAGATTATAAAGAAGTGCTACCATGTTGTAGGACCTAGGCGATCACACTGCACTATTCATCTTGTATAAAGTCGGTGAAGGTAAGAATCTTGTCTCAGGCAGTGGCCAGCAGAGGCACTGGTGATGTAGCTTTCTCAAGGGGTACCCGTGAGGCCCTGGAAATGTACCAGTGCCCCACTAGGCCAGGAAGTGGGATTCAATTTTATATTAGTAACTAAATAAGTATTTCATTTAGAAAATAACTTGCATATGTTGGGAGGAGAACAGTTTGCTTCAGGGAGTGATATCCTGTGCAGCAGCCTTTTTGAGTTGACTTATACGTTGATTATACCACAGTGACCAATAAAATGGCACTGGCAGTGTTATAATGACACAAGAAGTGATTCAAATACTATTTACAGATCAGGCTAAATTAAGCATGTTATATGTCTTAGTGAATTGAGCCTTTACAGACATGTTAAAGTGACATTAAAGTCAAACTTTTTTCCCCCCCTTCCCAATCCTGCTGTAGGGACTTACCTTAAATGATGTCTCTTAATCCGATCATCTTCTTCTTTACTGTCCTTTTCAGCTGTCCCTCCAGCACTGGTGCGGGTCTCCGATCCAGCGCGGATTCCTCTGTCCTCCTCTTCTCTGAAGTCCCACGGAGTCTGTGCGGGTGCACGCTGCTCCATATACTTACCTTGTGTCTCTCCTCGTCTCCTGGCCGAACATCAGAACTGCGCATTTGTGCCCGCCCCAAGATCCTTTGCGGCCACCCGAGACAGACACAAGTATTAACCCTTTGAAAAAGTTTTTCTTTTTTGTTTTAATCGTTTTGCATATATCTACTGCCTGCTAGCAGAAGATATATGCAAAAAACATGCGAGGGTTTAATAACTCTAAGTTCAGCATTAAGAAATAAGCACTGAACAGCTTTGTGAAGCCAAAAGAAATCTCACCGCTCCAATTTGTTAGCCGCCATCAGGACTCTCCAGATGCTGGTCTAATAGGTGCATCGTCACCTTGGAATGTACTAGTATATGAACAGACAGCACTATTCAGAGAATTCCAATACTTCAGACTTTTATAAAATTTGCAGCAAATCCAAACTAACAGTGTATGTAACAGCAAGTACCAGCACCGCAAACCCTCAAACAGCTGGTATGGGTTTGCGGTGCTGGTATTTGCTGTTACATACACTGTTACTCTGGATTTGCTGTGAATGTGAATAAAGTCTGAAATATTGGAATTCTCTGGATAGTGCGGTCTGTTCGTAAGCAGCTTTGTGAATTGCAGCTATTGACAGGCCAATCATACAGCACATATTGATGTCTGCCATGCAATGGGATCTGATCACATCTGAACGCTCCAAGACCTGTATTGGTGGATTTGAATTCATTGTGTTGTTCAGGGAAACTTTACAAGCACACAGATAAGTATTACAGCCTGTATTGTTGTGATGCGATTTAATCTCCTGTAACATAAAGACAATGCAACAGGTTGCAGGCAGATACCCGATACAATATCAGTAAAGAATGACACACCTGTATTATCTGGCATGGATGCTTGGTCTGTGTTCCTCTCCTTGCGAAAGATAATATTGCCAAACTGGAGAACAGCCGACCCCATCTTCAGCATAGCTAGGTGAAACATTATAAAACACAACAATCAAAGGATGTTCACTACAAACACAACTGTATATAAAAATAGCATGTCACTTATGAACATGTCTCTTCCAGATGTTTTTTTTCCTGGTAGAACAGGGACGGATTTGACTTTTTTTGGTTGTCTGTACCCTTGCTAGGTAGATTAAGCCCTCTAATTGTCACCCGGACAGAAAGAAGAGGAAATTCAAAATGATACAGTTGTCACCAAAACTAGAAGTGAAAGTAAATCCCCAATGGGGACACCTGTTTCTGTGACAACTGTCTAACTTTTTAGAGATTTCCTCTTACTTCCTATTGCATCTCTGAGACAAGAAGTAAAGGGGAAACTTAGCAATGTGAAATAGCAAAAAATAAAGCAACATAGGTTTTAACTCTTCCCTACTCTATCCAAAGCTGGAAAGAAATAGCTATATGTACACTTTAAGGCAGGGGTGGGCAAACTCCAGCCCTCCAGCTCTTGTGGAACTACAAATCTCATTAGGCATTGCAAGGTTTTCACAGCTGCAGGAATGACTCCCAGAGACAGATGCATGATGGGATTTTAAGTTTTACCAGAGCTGGAAATAGTGCATGCAGCATTTTTTCCGATCGGACTGCACCGGAACAGAGGGCATTCTTGTACCTCGCGTTCTGATGCGGGCGATTGCATTGCGGGCGGGCGACATTCCTGCAGAGTCATTGACGTGCATGGCACCGCCACACCCTCTCCGGCCACAGAACGCAGCCTGGCCTGATCTATGCGATCCAGTGCGCTCCAGGCTCGGACTGCCCGGAAAGCACTGGATATGGTGTGACCGGACCCTAAATCTTTTTATTACCTTTTGCTTAGACTATTTATTATCTCTAGTGCATATTTTCTCACTGCAAACCTGGCAGGGCAGATAATCATACTAACCAATTAAAAATGTTTATTGCTGTGTCTCAGTGACTTCTGATTGGTTGATATGGATTACTGCCTATTACTGGTCTTTGTATTATTTTATCAACTAGAACATAAGAGAATTACATTTATTTGGCAGTTACTGTATAAATTGCAAAGTAAAAAGAATCTGGGTGTTTTAATATATTCTTATTATTGTGATTTATACCAAGCAGAGCAGAAAATCATTGTAACCTATAAAAAAAAAGTACAATGTATTGCTCTGTCTGCAGGAACGTCTGATCAGTGTTAATTTTGACAGCAAATTTTGATTTAGTTTTAGTAATAGTCTTTTGACTAAAATGCCATTTAGTTTTAGTCATATTTTAGTCATCGGAATTGTTTTAGTCTAGTTTTAGTCGACTACATATAAGATACTTTTGTCTTGCGATGGTCGTAAGCTTATTAAAAGCTCGTACGATCTGCCCATCTTGGACAGGCAGATCGTACTTGCGATCATCGATCGCTGAGGGGCGGGCTTCCGATGACCGCAATGCAGAACGGGCAGTGTGCGCGTGCGCACACCGGCCCGTTCCGCAGCTGTCGAACGAGCAGGCTAGAAACCCGCCGACAATCGTATGATTCTCGGCGGGTTTTCGAGCATGCTGGTTCGACAAAAGACGTGCGACCGTACAGTAAAAACTGTCGCACGTCTTCCATACACTGCTCGATTCTCGTACGATCGCGGGATTTCCCGCGATTCTCGTACGAGAATCGAGTAGTGCATGGGCACCTTTAGTCTACTAAAATCTAGTGGGTTTAATTAAAAAGTAATTTAAGAATTTCCAATCTCATATTTTCCTGGAGTAAACATCTGTTAACCTGTTATTAATTATGGTATTAAGGTTTGAACATGTATTGCAGACACAGATTTAACTGTTGTGATATATAACATGTCTTTATTTATATTAATATTAGATGAAACCAAGCCTTATAAAGAAACAATAATATTTAGTTTTTATTTCAACAAAGGACCAGTAATTAGAACTGTATTGGTTATAACATTCTTTCATGCAGAAGTGAACTCTAAAATATTACAATGAAAAACTATATTGGCTGTAATGCCATTGCACATATTATCTATTAGCCGTCCATTCAGGATGGAACCGGAACTGGAAGTCCAAAGAGATCAAAGAGATTAGTTCTGATTGAATCTCTTCCCAAATTGTCTTTCCCTAACATTTTAGTCTAGTTTTAGGTAGTCAACTAAAATGTCAATATATTCATCATAACTTAGTTTTTATTTTTTTTATTTAGTTTTAGTCACTGACAAAGCGTTGTTGACAAAAACTATGACGAAAGTTATTAGTCAACGAATTTAACACTGCTCCTGATTGGCCAACATAAATAACTGTCCATCACTGGTCTTTGCACATTTGTTTGACAGTTCTAATAGGTTATAATTAGGGGAATCTGATCTACAAGTTTTGACCATGGCAACAATCAGCTTGTTGAGTTAAGCTTTAAAAATGAAAGAGAGAAGCTGTTTCCACTGGTGACTGCACCAGATTCTATTTGCTCCAATTTTTTTACATTTCCCCCCATTAAACTGTATGCATGTTTTTAGTTGAGATATACAAATGCCAACAACTGACCTCTAAGAACGATTATGCCTTTTTAAACTGTGTATAAAAGGTTTATAATGTCTTTTAATAAATATGTTGTTATATTTGAAATTAAAATGTTATAAAACAAAGTTATAAAAGACTCTCTCTCATAACAGCAATATAAATACTTTTAAAGTCCAATTTCCTTTATTGTGGAAAAACAAGTTTCTCTGCTAAAAGCTTTAATGATATTTATTTGGCATTTATAAATTACAAAGTCAGAAAATTCCAATATTTATAATATGTATTATTGTTTTGACCTGGGAGATGTATTTATTTGAGTCAAATAAGCTCTAATGATTTCATGTCACTGTATATGACAGCAGAAACATTTTCTGCCACACTCTCAAGTTAGTACATATTCTCCCCCTCCAAGTACTCAACAAGGGCATACTTCCAATACATAGCGTTGAACAACATTCCATTGTCATCAAAATGGGGACAACCTGTTACTTACACATGATTTCTTCATGACTAATTCCCATGATTTTCATGGACTCCATTGTCTCGTGGAATATCTCTTTGTCCTGCTGTCCGGGAATGGTGACGTTTCCATTGGATACAAAGCGATACTGGTTGAAGCCTTCCAAAAGTAAGTCAGCTAGAAGAGAGAAAACCAGAACACGATGTCAGCTACAACAATAAATATGACCTAAAATAGAAAATGAACACAAGAAACCAATCTACCCTACAGAAAAAATGGGGAAAAAATATAGGTAAACCTTTATGGCACAAGGATCAAATGCAGATGATCAGTTTTGGATTTTAGGAATTCTTTTGTAATTTATTGTATATAAGAAAACTGGTCTATATCATAACTATTTCCTCTGTTACGTCAACCACCAGTTTCACATTTTTGAGGCTGCTTTTATATAGGAGGCTGAGTATAAGCTGTTGTTGGTATGGAATTAAAGTGAACCTGTTGCTTTAACCTGCATGTTCTAGGAACAGTCTAATGTTGCTCAGACCTAACAAAATCACAAGTATTGGACTACAATCTCACGTTTAGTTTGCTCATTTGTAATAAGATTGAAGTCCATCACAGGAGTGAGCTTGGAGCAGTGACTACATTACAAAAAACAGGGACCATAGGGAACAAAAATAGCCACCCTCCAGAAGGAAGGACAGTGTCAGCACCAATTCAGAGATGATTTGAGGATCTACAGCCGAGTGATACACAAATAAGATACATATCTGTTAATAGTTAAGGTGCATTTTTAGGATTTAACTCCTGACTTTAGTGTTATTTTAAACATTCCATGTGAACAAAAAGAGAGAAAGGTGAACAAGTAAGTCCCCAAAATGCCAAACTATGGTTACATTTGCGCTGTGCCCAGATTTACTCGCATGACTCCTCCTAAACAGTAAATTACATTAGTTTGGTTCAAATACATCTAAAACTTGAGAAACAGAACAAGAAAGTAATACATGTAGCAAAATCACATCTCGGTATTCAACATAATGCACACTGCACAACATAGTGCAACTTCACATGGCTAAAGTCTCCGGAATGTGCATATAAAATATAACAACTTACTTTTCATATGCTCCCCTGCTCCCGCTAAAAGCTGGTAAAAAACATGGAATGTTCTTTCATCCTTAGCTTGGCGAATTGCTCGAGATTTCTCCAGTAAATCTGAAAGAGGCAGTTAAGGAGGGTGCCAAGAAAACTTAATGGCAACATCATAATTAAATAGGAGCTTTGTAATAATAGGCTTTTCAAAGCTGTTCTCATGTTTTTGTTCTGGTGCAAAGGTTAACGTTTATTAATTAGTGTTCACCAACTTCGTTTCTGCAGATGATGACACATCCCTCCTTCTTCATACTAATCAAACTCTTAAGTAGGAGAAAAAAATGCAAAACTAAATAAAAAGAATTTATGAAAAGAAAAAAAAAAGTAGCAGCAAATAACATTTCTATTTAACACTTTTTATTGTTGAGGGGGAAATTTGCCTTTGGAGGCTGGCTACAGGTTGTATCATGGTCTTCAAAAGTGGCCATATAAAAATGAACAGCAAATGAATTGCACGTGCACTCAAGTGGAAAACTGCTTTTTGCTTAGACATACGTACACGTTTGTGTGCCTGCATGCGCATACTGTGCATGCCCAGAGTTTCCTTAGGTCAGGAAAATGATAGGGGTCTGCAGGGAAAAACAAATCCAGTCATTTGACTTATGCCTATTGGTAACCTCTTCACACTATGCAATAAATAACCCAGGAAAGGGGGAGCACAGGCCACATACTGGATGCTTCCATCTCCTCACAACTCCCCTAAATTATACTGGTCCTGTACATAGGACACTGGAAAAGCTAGAAACAGCGTTTCATGTCTTATCCGCCGCACTGAAAATACAAAGACTACATGTGACAGTCTGAAACATTTATTATTCATACATGGGTCCCCACTTCCTTTCTTCTGTATTCTACCAAGTATAGATGACAGCAGAACAGGTACTATTATGTGTGTGGTTGAGAGAACTGATTTACGTGTGATGGCTATAACAGTTGTCAGGTTGATGATAATGTAACAGACGTGTACTACAAGTTAATGTAAATCTAGCTAGTATCCTATAGACAGTTATTGTGATATAATTAAAGTTAATCTAAACTCAAATGACATTTAGTTTACTAAAACATTGTGTATCACATACATCTGCATTTTCCCATACAACATTGCAAGACTGTATCTACATGCAAGCAGTTGAAGTACCTGAATTTGGCATCATATCTGCCTCTTGCAGTCCCCTGTTTAGCAGAGCTCACACTGAAAGGGCACCCTTCAGATGTACTACAGTGCTTGTGTGCTAACAAGGAACATACTGAAATGAGGGTCAAGCAGAATGACAGGGAGATGAGTTCAGCAGTTGTTTTACTTCCCTGTCACAGGCTGGGGAAGGGACAAGACCTGTAAGGCCTCATTCACACTGGGCGATTTGGGATTTCTGTGGCAGGAAACCCAGATGTCCCGTTTAGATATGGACGCTGTACCTGTTCAAGGTAATGACTGGGTGACAACAGTCACATCTTTAAGCAGCAATCCGTATGTAATATGATTACATACGGTTTGGAATAGATCACTGTTGCTGGATGCAGAAATGATGTGTCCAACGACAATGATCTATCCCAAACCGCATGTAAACATATCATATATTATTACATGTGGACTGCCGCTTACAGATGCGGATACTGTCACCTGGTCATTAACTTGATCAGGTACAGCGACCACATCTAAATGGAATATCTGAGATTCCTGCAGCGGGAATCCATAGGTTCCTGCCGCAGGAATCCCAAACCGTCCAGCGTGTTATCGTACTGCCAAAAAATTCAGGTCTCCTGCCCTGACAGACTGGGCTCTGCTGTATGAAAGAGCAGTGTAAATAACATGGCTGGATGGACAGAGATACAAATCTTTTGACAGGTACAACAGCTCCCTTTTATATATTTTATCTGTGTATCTGTTTTATCAACTGTATGCCTGAAGTTTAGCTTTGACATTGCAGTGATAAACTATAAAATCGCTAAAGGTTTCACCCAAGGTGGTAGCATACCAGAATGTACAGATTGAAAGGATACAAGTTTCAATGTTAGCTCCAACGATGTATCCAGCAACATCAAAATTAATTCGGATGAATTTGCCCTAGGAGATTTCAATGAAAATATAAGTCATGATATAATGATGGAAATACACATGCCTGCACAAGCTCTAAGCACAGATTATATCTCCTTTTGTTCCACGCAGGAGACATAAATTAACTGGATCTTATTTATAAAAGATGAAGCACAAAAAACACAATGGTGCTGTTCCATAGCAACAAACGAAGCTTTCATTCATTTCCCACCCTTCTACTAACAATAACAAAATGACAGTTGGAACATAATTAGTTGGTCTGGCAAACTTCCATTTATTTTTGCTCAGTTTTCATAAACAAGACCAACTATGTGCTTAAGTGAGATAGTTAGTTCAATTAGATTCTACTGATATTAAGATGCAATATCTGGTGCTAATTTTCAAGGTAACCGCACCCAAAGATATTTGGTGACTTGAATCCAAAGTATTGCAAAAGTTCATAAAAATGCGTCAGTATTAGCTACTATTAGGTGAAATAAGGACTTTTACCCACATCACAGATCATTTACAGGAATTACAATTAAAGATGTAATGACACAGAAAAGACTGGTGCACATATTAATTTTTCATTATTTAGGACTTAAAATACTGGTGAGATGATTCTCAGACCCAGACGGGCAATGTGGCATCTTCTGAATGTACTAAAAGGATCTGTGTGTATACCAACATTCAGTGACAATGGGAGAATTATCACAAATGTATCCACCCTGTGCTGGTACAGATATTCTTGTTTGGTATGGTTATTTTTAATTTACCCATATGTCAAACTTCTACCATTTTTTCTTTCAATCACTTTCTGTCCCAGTGACAATGGTCAGCAGGACAAGTCTAGAAGAGGAATTTCTACAACAGGGATATGGATAGCAATAAACAGCTAAAAGGGATTCTAACCCTTCCCTTCTCTACCCAAAACTTGAAAAATCAAATTGGACTTTAGATCCATCTCAACAATAAACTTTGAATATAAGGATAACACTCTTAAAAATCAAAACATGTCAAAAGGGCGCCTTCTTACAAATCGCGAAGAGTTGTCATTTTTCACAGTCTTGGCGTTTCCGAAAGCTTCCAAAATAGGGTTGGCTTGCAGGAGCTGATGTTCTAGTTCTCCCTGAAAATATACAAATACAGCCAAATATAATATACTGATGTACTTTAGAAGCACATTTTTATAAACAAATTGCAGAAAGCTATGGAGTGCTAAATAAAAAGAAAATTGTGACATGACATGCTTTTGGTAACCAAGAAAACCTCAGTGGCCAGAAAAACAGAAACCCCCAAGTGAGCTTACCCTGCATACAGAAACAGACAACAGTAACTCCATTTCTGTGATGCTTTGCATGTGCCCAAATTATCTTAAAGTAAAGGTGTACCTTTGTATCAAAGACCCTGTGTTGACGAAGACCCTTATAGATGTGCTCAGGGATTGTGTCAATGGCATCAGTTTAAAAAACTATGGGGTTAAGGCTTTTCCCCATAGTTCTCCTTAGGGTAACGGGAGGACACAAACTAGCGTCCTCCCGTCACCCTAGGCTCAGTATACCGCGAGCTGTAGCTCGCGGTATACTGAGACGCCGCAGCTGAAGTGGATCCCGACAATTGTGCCGGGATCCGCCCAGCTGCGTTACTGACAGCTGGCTCTGCCTATCTAGAGGCAGAGCCAGCTGTACCCGCCCCCTCCCCCGTCCGTTCCGCCAGTCAGCACTGGCGGATCGGAGCAGGGTGGGGGGAATCCAGCCCCTCCCCTGTCATGGCAGAGAGCCGTGGATAGATCGACAGGCCAGCGCATGTTGGTATGTGTTCGCTCACCTCCCGATCTACTGAGCCGACCTGTGACAGTCTCATTGTCACAGGTCGGCTAGAACTATGAGGTGAGTGAAAAGCACTCACCTCATAGTTCTCCTTTAAAACGATTCTGAGATCATGAAAATTCATTGTAAAGTGCATTTGACCTGCATCAAATGAGTTTTGCATTTCTGTAGACTTGTATGGGAATGCATAACACATTTTAAGGGAACAAAAATTACATTTGCAATTACATCTGTAATTGCAACTGCGTACTAAGGTGCAATTACTCTGAGTATAGAGTATAATAAAAGACAACCAAGCAGGCTATCTTCCCTATTTGTGTTAAACCCTTGAAATAGCATGCAATAGACTACAGAGCACCCCCACCTGGCACTGATGAACTTCAACACAGCATCTACAGAGGGAGGAAGTAGCATCCACCAATGACACCTGTGTAGTTGGCTTTATTACTGGGATGCTACAGGAGACTGTGCTCATGAAGTCACACAGCTCTTATGACAGCCAAACGCTGCACAGTGGTTCAGGGCCTGTTCACATGAGTTTCAGGTCCTGATCAGGTCCAGATCTGCAGATGCGGTGCTATGTGTTTTTGCCGCGTTTTTGATGCGTTCCAGTTAAAAAAAAACTTTTTTTTGCTGGAGTGGGGCTGGCAGTATGTTAGATGCAGTACAGTGCATTTTTGACGCGTTTTGCGTTTCCGGAACGTTTCCTGGCCGTACAAAATGTGACATGCAGTATTTTTCTGTCGTAACCTGAACGGACTGTGCACGTGGGAACTGTAGCCCATAAAACACATTGGGATGCATTTTTAGTGCAGGAGCGTACGGATTAGGTCAGCACAGAAAACAGACGTCGTGTGAACAGACCCTTAAATTTGGCCATTTTTATTTTAATTTCTCCAGAATGGGGAAATCAAAGTAACTGTAAGAAAGAGCAGAGCTTTGTTGTCATACTCAAATGCAGAATAGATTGTAAGAAACAGTGGACAATTCAATTAGTAATTGAAGGAGCGATTGATCCCAGAGTGTGTGGGGGTTTAACAATTGAGATCTCCTGCTCCCACAAACATGGCTACCAATCCTACTTCCACTTGTCCATTCTAACAATAGAGTTACTTAGTTTGATGCCCAGACTCTTCCTCCACACCTATCAGTAACTAAATAAAAACACCTATCAGTAAATAAATAAAAACACTCATCAGTAACTAAATAAAAACAGCCGAGTGATAAACAAATAGGATACCTTGTTGTTAATAGTTAAGGTACTTGAATGCATTTTTAGGATTTCATTCCTGAGTTTAGTGTCACATAAAACTTTAATTTACTGTACTAGTAGATGTATTGCCTAGATGCACATAACACCAATTCTAAAATATGTTTCTGTTCATCTTGGGAAACAATATTCTATTAAAGTGCATCGATGTGGATCACAGATATTTTAGGATGAGATATACAGAGAGGGAAACAATTGGCATTTTCCTCCTAGCCCTGTAAGTTTAAGTTATACCTCTATCATTGAGTTAGTAGAGTTAGCTATACCTAGCTAACTCAGGATGACAAATATAAATAGCTAAAACTTACATAAATTAAATAAATAAATATAACAATGAAAAAAGAAAAACAAAATGAGTTACTCACATATGACATGGCACTGGAGTTCTGGGTCAAAACACAAACAGCACGTAAAAGGAAAACATAGATAACACAAATGTTAATGACACAAAAAAAGAAAAATGGAAATAATAAGCAATAAAAACATAATGTCAGTGAAAATTAAAAAGAAGCAATAATAATGTGGTTTGTGAGGAAATGAAAACACTAGACAGAAAACTGATGAGTAAACAATGGATTAAAAGTAAAAATAAATAGATGGCAGTTGGAGGATCTGACCATTGATCAGAGGTTCCATAGATACCTGACAGGATTGGCACAACTATGTATAGTGTGCTAGTATCAGCCAAGTGTACACCCCCTGGCTCTGATATTATCTTTCTGGAATAGTCATCAGCTATGAAACTGCAACCTGGCCGATCAATTCTACACACGGGATCAGTCGTCTAGGCAGAGTGTTCAGATATCAGCTGACCCAACACACACAGTCATGTATGCTTCTGTTCCAAAACAATTGGTACCACTCATATACTGAGGGAAAACTAGAATGTTGGGTAAGCAACTTAAACTTGACTGATAACTTTACAAAAAATCTGCCATGAGTATCGGATAAAGTCTATTGCACCCTATTGTCATCCCATTTGTCATACTATTGCTAGAATAGACAACAGCCATTAGATATCTATGGGTTCCTTAAAGTGTATTTCCATTTTGTAGTCAACAAAGGGTTGAAGATATGAAGGCTTGAGCGGTATGTTGCACGTTGATGCACTTTTAAAAAATGTCCCTAATTACCCCTATAGTGTATTGTTCAGCCAGTTATTTTGAAACATGCTCCAAAGAGAGTCCTGCTCCAAAGAAACAATACAAAAGGTAAGAAACATATTTTTAATTATTTTTAGGTATGCTATGAGAATGGGAACATATAACACACATATAATGGGGGCTTCTCAAATTTGGCTGCACTGGTGGAATTACACTTCAAATTTTTAGGCTCACCCACTGCACATTTCTTTGCATATTCCCATCACTCCATTCAATTGCTAGGAGAGAAGAAAGGCCAGCCTCTGTATGCTTCAAATCCCTCCGGCCACAGTAATAAATTAAACCTGCTGTTTTGCACTGTATTGGTAATTTAAAGGTTCGCCTATAACTGAGGTGAAGTGTACACATATATAATACCTTCCTCTGTTTATATGAAGGAATACATCCCCGGATCTCGTTGGATGTGTCTGCTTCTCCCTGCTGGCCATTGCGTGCTGCAGACTTTAGAAGATGTACAGTCTGCTGATTGACCAGTCGGTTTCAGGCATGTCTAAAAGGGATCCCAGGGATGTGTTCTTTCACATAAAGCTTGGGAGCAAAATGATTGATGGCAGATAAAACTAATAGCTCTAATGGGGGACCAACGACAGTATGAATTGTGGGAGAAATGTTTCCTGAATGATGGAAATTCAGACAGGAAATGAAGGTGGGTTTATAGCTGCTGAAGATTCAAAGGGTTATTTTGGGGGTTTAAAGTTTGCAGGAAATTGAGAGTAATGTGTTTCAGCACAAGAGAGGACTTGCTACAAGTATGGGAAAGAAGGTAAGGGTGGAGTTCAGCTTTACAAAAGGGCTACTCAATTCCCAAAATCCACCTTTCCTCTAGCAGCAGTGTTGAACTAATGTCCTAAGTAGTCATTTTTAGGCCATAAACGGTGCAACTATCATCTGAATGTGTTGAACTGAGAGGTATCAGATGATGGGCACCTTACATATTGCTCTAAATAGCAACCACATTTACTCTTATTCTGACACGTGATCTGAGAACAGCAGTACATAAGTTTAAGTCCATGCCTCACACAACCAAATATACTGCATTTATGAAAGCTGATCTACGCAGAATTCCTAATGCTTGCTAATGCATGCTGCACACGTTTAATTTACTTTATCATTGTCAATATTTAATGTACAGACAGTAGGATCCAAACAAAGTGGTACTACAGAAGTAATAAATCTTTTCTTGCACCTGTTCCATATGTCACTAAAAATAGCTGATGTCGTTGCAATTACACCTCTCTCTCTAGTAATTAGGAGGTAATATGTGACACAAACTGCGTCTGTCACTAATAATAATGATAATAGCCATTCAAATGGATGTGTAGCTAATCCCCAAGCTAAAATTCTTTATATGAATACATATAAAAATGTTAACAATGACTGATCATTAAGGGTAAGTCCATTCAAAACTGATATTTCATCTGAGCTGAATCACCACTTAAAATAAAAATGCTGATATACTGCACTACTTATGATTTATCACAGTTTACTGTGTGTAAAAAAAAATTGCGACAGCTCAAAACGATCTTGGCATAAAGTCCAGATCCCTTATGCAGTGTATCACGTTAAGGGCCTGTATTGACGGAGTTTGGGCTTGTGACGATCCATCAGTTTGATATGGTTCTAAGTTCATTGCCTGGCGCATTTGACCTGGAGCGGACTTCCTTCTGACCTGCTTCAGGCGGGTTCTGCATTTCCATAGACTTGTATGAGAAAGCAAAACCTGTCTTGAAGTCAAGAAAAGCCCTTTGACACAGGCCCTAAAAGCGAAGGCCACTCGGTGCTGATAATTATTTTGGTGAATGCTAGCTAAATAAATTGTTCATTGGCTTTTTATTTTAGCTTAAGGACTCCAAGAGCAAGATCTCTACAAATGAATTTCCACCTCAGCCTACCTACAGCAGCCATTGTAAGACAGTCTGACCTTGATCACTTGAATCTCTGTTTAATGTACGTTTTGGAAAAAGAGGGAACTCTGTAGAGAGACTTCACCAGAAAAGTCTCTGAGGGATCGAAAAAAGTGGAGTTCTCTTTTTTGGGTTTATCGTTCAAATTATCACATGACTACGAGCATTCTAAATGATACTTATACAAAATTCTTACAACTATGGTCCCCCTGAATTGAATAGCTCAGACTTACACCCCATTCACACTGAGCGATATGGATATTGCGCGTTTTCCACGCGATATCGCGCTAAGCGACTTTGAGCTACATTATATTGAGTGGCATTGCACATTTTATCGTGTAACGTAGTCGCTGCTACATTTGGTTCTAACCAATCAACAGTGGTCTTGATGTGACATAATTCTTTCCTTCCATTTTGCAGTGTAAATGTAGCGCAATATCGTGGGCAACACCATAGAGTCTATTGGAGCCAAATCGCACGACATCCGCGCAAATAAAGGGTCAGGTACGAGCAACAAGCTACAGGCGACAATGAGCTGTGAGATGTCAACAGCTCCATTGAAATGCATTGAACAAACTACATAGAGCGATATCGCGTGGAAATTAGGGCTGCAACAACTAATCGACATAATCGATCATAATCGATTATTGAAAAAAGCGTAATATCGCGGCAAAAATCGTGCGATAAACCGCTTAGTGTGAACGGGGCCTTAGTGGGTCTGACCATACATTACTGCATCTCTAAAATAACTCCTGCAATTCTGCAGGACTTCCCCAGTGGTTACCCCTGCCCCCCCTCCTTTCCTCTTAAACTCTTGGCTCATTTTCCTCGGTTTTCTCATTTCTTCATTCTCTTCACCAGCCTTCGTCTATTTACTCCATGGAATCTGCACTTTTTTTGCCTCCTGAGTTGACCAATCCACAGTTACTTGATGGAATGTATTAATAATGACTGACCTGCCTCATACAGCCTTAATTTCTTTATCTGCAAAGGCCTTCACGCCTTTAGAACCAGAGGGCATGGCACAGGACTTACTTCACCAAGGGGCTTCCAGGCCCTGATCAGGGCTGTCAACATGCCTTATCTCAAGTGATTAATTGTATTGTACCATCTTTTCTTTACTGTCTTCTTCGTTAATGCAAAAACTTTAATAAGACCTTTGTACAAGAAATGATCGTGTGACATTTTCCATAAATGTGCAGGACTACTACTGTGCTAGTGGCATGCATTACAAAATCCATGCAGGATGCACACAAAGTCAACTTGCCTGGCGTTTAATAGATTTGAAAGATTCCATCTGGTATTAGTAAAGTGCACAAAATAATCAAGAAAGACAGTTAGTGACCAGATATTAGAGGGCTCATTGCTGACAGAGAAGTCAGCATTGTACTGCAGCCAGTCTGCTGCTCCCAACACTTGGGCCTCTCCTTACTACAAGTGTGTTGCTTCTGTGCCTACTCAGGAGACAGACATTGTAGTGTTTCCATTACAAATCTCATGCAAGATGTGTGATCCCACTGTAACACGTGCAGACTTGGTAAAAAAGTATAATTACTGTTTACACCTCAGATGTTTTCATTTTTTTTCTGTCTGCAGTTCCAGTCGCGGGACTGTTCCCAGGGGAAACTGGATTCTATACAGGCTGGTATACCTTTTACTGGATCAACATAAAGATCATACATTTATTCCAGTTAAATGATGCAGCGAATGGTGTAATATTGCTACCATTTTAAAAATGTTAACATTGCTTAGGAATCTATTTATCAGTCTTTTTTTTCACCCATCTTTCACCTAATGTTCATGCTTTTTTTTATTGAATCATGGATAAAAAGCGTGTGAATCTTGGGTTAAGGTTGTGTGCATGTTGGGTGAACAGATTGATAAACAGACCCCTTAGAGTGTCAGCCCACCTGCTGAAGAGACAGATCACCCACTTATCTCATTGATGTCAAATGCTTAACATCAAGATGAGCTTTCCTGCTGCAGCAATTGCAAGGGAATGCCATTCTCATTTATATTATACGGTAGAATGAGTAAAACACAGAGACAATGAGAGCAGGGACAGCTGTAGTGGGGAGATCTCAGCACCAGAGATCCCAACACACAAAACAAATCAGTGGGTGATTCAGCTCTACCACATTTTTAGTTTTGGGTGGACTGATACTTTAAAAAGGAACTTCATTAAAGCATTACTCCATTTTTTTTTAGTGAGAAAGAATAGCAATTTCTGTCAGACCCCATTGAGGAGAGTCACATCCTATCCGTGTATCAGACAAAGAGGGAGAGTTGTCACCAAAACAGGAAGGCTACTCTACTAAATATATGGTTTTGTTAGTGTCCCTGCTAAAAGGATTTCCCATAACTTCCTGACTTGAGTGAAATCTCCCTAGTAGGAACACATATGGGAATAACAATCTGACAGAGGTTCTCTAATCCTTCCCTGCCCTATCTAAAGAAATACAAAAAATTTGCTTGGAGTTTGGCTTTAAACGCTATCACAGTTGATTTGGATAGAGGGTGAGCTGGGCACCTGTAATGTAACGGCAGGGCATGTATTGCTGCAAATATATGACTTTTGTCTGTTTTCTGACCATGCTGCTCTGAATGTCATGGAGGCTCACAAATAAATCTGATTGGCTATAGCAGCAGGAGCACAGGGGAGGATGATGCAGCCAGCACCTGATGTCTTTGCACGTCTCCACTTCACAGAGGTACCCAAATCATCCTGTACCCAGAATTATAAGAGATGTCCACTTGAAAACAGTCAGTAGTTATTTTGGACATATTTTCAAGCACAAGTTTCGGGATTAAAATACAATTTAACAAGAATATTAAACACAATATTGGACATTGGTACAAACAAACCAGATCAGTTAGGACTCAGAAAATGACTAAAATATTTAATATTATAATCACATAGTTAAAGGAGAACTATGAGGTGAGTGATTTCCACTCATCCTAATAGTTAGAGCCGGCGTGTGACAATGAAACTGTCACACGTTGGTTCCATAGATCGGGAAGTGAGCAAACACATACCATCGCTCGCTCACTCATTTCCTGATCATTTTCCTGCAGAGAGCAGTGAATATCAATCACCGCTCCCCGCAGGGATTCCCCCCTCCGATCCTCCAGTGCTGACAGGGGGGTTACAGCTGGCTCTGCCTCTAGATAGGCAGAGCACATGGGCAATAGTCTGCTATATACTGAGCTTTTCGGTCACAGGAGGAGGTTAGTATATGTACTTCCGTGACCCTAAAGAGAACTATGTGATTAAAAAGGTTACCCCATAGTTCTCTTTTAATGATGAGGTTGAACAAAGAGTGATGTCCACCAAGTACACCCTTATGGCTTCTCTCCCTATGCAGCTATAATGCTGCACAATGCATTTAAATATTTACTCTTTTAAAGACTCTATAAAGCAAGTATTTATAGCAAACATATATATTAACTTTGTTTAAAAATGAACAATTGCAACAACTTGCAATCAACATTTTTATGACCTTAAGGGCCCGTTCACACCAAATGCTGCGCTAATCACACAGCCTCTGGTGTGTGTGGTGCCCCTGAACAGTGCCGAAGAGCTGATCCCAGCACATTGCACTGCGTACATTTATTTTGTTAGAACTTTATTGAAATGTCACAAGCGAAGTTTCATTCAGTTCTATCAGGCTGCATCCCTCTGCGTTAAAAAAATGAAGACATGCCTTACTTTTTTCAGCGCACACCACCGTATTCTTACCGCAACACGGTGGTGTGAATGCACAAGGCAAATTGCTTTGCCTTGTGTTGGGGATGCACTCCCCTTCCAGGCCCATTGATACCATCTGCATTGGAGTTGCTGGCCGTTGTTTCCAGTGCAGCCCCAACACATGCCTTTTTTCCACAAAGCGGCATGCAACGCGGTACAAGCGACTCGCACCCTGCTGTGCCTGTAGAACTTGTGACATTTCAATAAAGTTCTAACAAAGTGCGATGTGCTATGATCAGCGATACGGCACTGTGCCAGGGCATCGCACACCAGATGCTGTGCGTTTAGGGCAGCGTCTGGTGTGAATGGGCCCTAAGGGTTTGGTATGAACTCTAACACAACGCTACCCCAATGCTAAATTTGCAGGGCTGTATGCCCTTATCTTTTCATTTAACTCAAAATCTTTTTTATCTTTACAATTATTCTTTAATACAACAGTGAATGAAACAATCTCAGTCATTCCATTGGTATATTTGAAATATCTTATAACTAGTTTACTGGGGAATCATTTAGCACTTTGTTGTACAGTATATTAGGTAATAAGAGCAGAAGCTATCATTGACAGGTAGATCAGATACTTACCGGAGCAGTGTGTTCTTTACGCCCCTTGTGTGACGAGGCGACATGAGCCAAGTACTGGATTACTTTCTTGGTGTTTTCTGTTTTTCCTGCACCCGATTCCCCTCTGTAAATATAAATCTGGACTTAATATCTGCTGTAACATGTGATTGGCACTGAATCAGTGAATAATCAGTGTATGCCCTTTTTTAAATACTATTATATTACCGTAACAAGGGAGGCTACATTATATAGTTTTCTTAAAGTAGATCTATATCCTAACTGTTTGAGCTGAACGCTCCATTCACACAGGGGATTTGCTGCATGTGGGGATCCCCACGGCAAGAACCTACGGATTGTGCCAGTTCAGATGCGGTCGCTGTGTCCATTCAAGTTAAATGACAGGGTGATAGTAGCTGCATCTGTCAGTGGCAGCCCGCATGTCCGCAATCATCCATGTTATGATTACCTGTGGATTGGGAGAGATGATTTTCCCTGGACAAAGGCAAGATGCGGCCAGTGACAAGCATCTCTCCTAATCGGCCTGTAATTGTACGATGCGGACTTCTGCTGACAGCCACTATCAGCCTGTCATTAACTTGAGTGGGCACAGTGGCTGCATCTGTACAGATACACCTGGGATTCCTGCTGCAAGAGTCCAAAAGGTTCTTGCCGAAAGAATCTCTGAACTCAGCATAAGCCCCCATGTGAATGGGGCCTCAGCTTGCTAAAGCATATTGTTAACAACTGCCATCATTTTTCCATAAGATACTGTTTTCAGCTTCTTTTATCTTTTTTACAAAAAAAGCTGCAGGTTTAAAAAGAGTGAAAACAACTTTTGGTATCCTCCAATGGTTACCTTTGGCAAGGGACAGATGTCCATCCCTGGATGTAGACATATTGTATCCAAGACCAGTAAGCCACAGGTAACTTCTGTGGACACGTGTGAATAGCGGTGGACAGCTGCGGCTCCTGTCAGCCTGTCATTGCTTTGTACAGGCTGAGCGGCTGCATGTATCAGAGACCGCCTGTGATTCCAGCAGCAGGAATCCTCAAATTCTTGCCACTGTAAGCAAATGCCTGGCCCTAAAAAACCTGTGTGAATGTATTGCTGTCTGTGTCACCACTGGGGGGGATTCACACTCTATGTCTCCTGGTGGCCATTGTCACCAAACCAGAAAGTGAGGGGAAATTCAAATGCTAATTTCTGTTTATTTCACCCCTAAGACTGAAATCCAGCAATATAAAGAATCCACTACTCACGTGCACAGGATGGACTGATCTTCACGATCTGAAAATAAAGAACAAGACACAAAGTTAATTGGAAAATGTCCACAGTCACACTGCTACATACGACTATTTCTTGCAGCTAAAGTCATAGAGAATTCAGAGCTGATGGACTGAAGCACATAAAAAGATGCAGCAGATATCAGTAACTTCTGGAGACACTTCATGAAGCGTGAGAACATTTGTAAGCGTGTTTACATGTATTTTTACACAGAGACTATAATTAGCTACATAACACCTATATGATTGATTGAGATGTCGGTGGATAGACACTTAAAATGTTATGGACAATGACATCTCTATGGCTGGAAGTGAGAGGTGACATGGAAAACTGAAAAGACGGAGTGGAAACTTCCTGGATGTGCAGCATGGCAGAGCTGTATAAATCATGAGACTGGCTGAAGAAAATGACAAATGCTTGTTTAGACAAACCAGTTCACATAGATGCATTCCAGTTTTGCATTTAGCTATATGCCTGGAGTTCTGCTCAAATATATAAACCTTTAAATGCATTGTGATGTAACACTGAAAGATGGGAAAAGCTCTCCTAAATAAAACTTATGCTTTATCAGTTTGTCACATAGCCAGTCAGCGAAGTCGCTGAGCACAGGTTTGTCCTACATAAAAGCCAAGTTGATTAGCACTAATCCAGAAAAAGACCAAAGTCATTATAAACTATGGTCCATTTTGATTAAAAAGGGAACAAAATCCTCCGTGCTCCCAGACAGCAACAGTATCAATGCCTGAATCAACATTCCACTACATTTACAAATGTAAGTAATCTTTTATATTCGGCTACATATTGAAGACATCCAACTGATAAAAATGGACTGTATGTGCTAGAGTTCCTGGGGAACACTTTTTCACATTTTTTTTAATGCAAGGCCCCATACACACCTGGGCGACGGCATTTTTGTGTGTATTATTGCGCATTTTTGTCTAGCATTTTTACTCGGGTCTGATGTGCATACATTGGGTTGTACTTTTCAGCTAGCAGATTGCAAGAGATTAATGTAAAAACACACATTTCATGTAACAATGCACAAAAATGCTTATGTCGCACATTTCCATGTGTTTCCATTGAGGTCTACGGAGCCAAACACGTAGAAATCAGCAGAAAATAGCTCATGTATTTTTTCTAGCGACAGGCATGAACGAGGGCCATAGAAAACAATGGAATTCCCTGTTTTGAGTGTTTTGTAGCTCCAAGATTTTAGGTGTGAACGTGGGGCTCAAGAACACTTCTTCCTTGTGGAGATTAAGGTGGAACTAAAGTCATTACATAAAAATTGCTGGGAGGAAGAATGTTTGGGCAGAAAAGTCTCTTCTGCCATAGAAAAATCTTCTACTTGCTCCCAGCATTTTTTTCTTGTTCAGTATCTTTATTGGTTTTAACTCGGGGTACAATCACCGCAAGTAATCATCCTGTTACCGGTTTGTCGGTTTCCATTATATAGTGCATTAAAACCCTTTAATTATTTATAAGTGTTTCTTCCAAAGATATAGATTATAGCGTTAGTAAAATGTGGTAATAGCATAGGTAAATAATATGATAATGGATTAGGAGTAAGGAAGGAAAGGGGCAGTGGGTAGGGATGTCTGGGAGAAAGGGAAGGCAGCTGGATTGCCAGGTCTCTACATTAATTCAGCTTGTTAGAAGGTGGTTGTTGAAGTTTTGAGGCGATGAATATGTTGCCCGGGGTTCCCAGATATTTTCATATAGGGCCATTTTATCAGTTAACTTAGCTGTTAGTTTTTAGAAAATTATGATTTGGGTCACTCCCAGCAATTCCTACACTGCGCAATGTACACTCGTGGCTCATTCCCAGCTTTTGTAAGATACAGAGAATGGAGCCAGATGCCGGAATGATATAAAAATCCAAAATGCACATTACACCATCAGCGGATGCCCAATGGTAGGTGTGAAAGAAGAAGACCCGAGGAAGATGTCAGCAGCCATGGATTGAGCAATGAGGGGGAGTAGGGAGTTGTGGACACTGCTTCACTGGAGGAGGGCACACTAAAGGATAAGTGTGTTCTACTATGCATGTACTGTATGTAGTGTATGTGTGCACTGAGAAAAGCCCACCCATCCTGCAGGTGTAAAGTTCCATTATAAATATTATAAAATCTTTATATCTATCAGGGGTGTGGTGCCACCCACTTGCCTCACACTCTCTCCTTTTTCTTCATTTGGATTCCATTATAAATAGTTATTCCATGGTTTACAAGGGTTGTCATTTCCACTGATTTCTATATATAGTCTATATACTCAGGTGTTCTGCAGGTGTGCACAAACCAACAGTTAAAAATCAACCTAACCATAAAAGCATTTTCTGTCACATGACTCTTGTCCCACCTTGAAGCATGCTGCGATAGGCCGTTTCTGATATTGCGTATATATGCGGAGGCATCTCATGACGCTTCTTCCCTCTGTACATTTCCACTATTTGTTCTGAGTATATTGGCAGGTTCTTGTAAGGGTTGATCACTACACAGAAGAGGCCTGAATATGTCTGTATAAAGAAAATAAGAACAGCAGCAGCATTAGTATACATTTAAATACAAAACACCATCATCAACTATTAGTCTAGCCTACACATGTCCACTAGATCACTACAGATGTAAAGCATAGCTCATGCAGAAGCAGAGCAGGGAAAGCTTCCAATAAACCACGGTAGCTGGAATTTTATTTTCATAATTTGACCTGTAATGCTGAAGAGTGGCCATTCAGAGGAATAAAAATGTGAATTTCTGCACATGTACCTGGTAGTCAAAGGCATGGGGTACCACAAAAAATACAATGCTCTATATAAAATGATGTACTACTTCTAAAGTTAGAATGTAGATTTGTTAGATGTCACGTTACACACAATCAGTCCCCATGTAAGTCGCTGCGATTTCAATATCAAATAGTAGAGGTCAAAGAACTCCACTTTATCAGACATATTTGCTGGCATTAGATAATGGCACTAAACAAACATTTGTATGACAACATCTCAGCAATAGAAGATGATTAGAAAATATGGATCCTATTTACAGCATCTAAAAATTGAATTTATTGGAATACTTTTCAGTGTGGAAATGGCCCTACAAAATATGTCAGTATTGGTCTCGTCTCTCTTTATTTAAAACAAAGGGGATATTTATTTTGTTAGAAATGATAGAAGGAGCTCGGTTGTAGAGGATTAGTCACTCTGCCTTCTAGTTGTGTTAGGTACTGGAGCGAAGCAAACACAGAGGGTTTCTGTACTCTCTATACTGGCCAATGGAGATTCGAAAACCCCTGTGCAGTATGCACACATTGTGACCTTCCCTAGTACTCAATCTATCAATCTAGTTCTAGGCCCACACAGAACGTGTCACCCCAAATGTCACCCACATTATACATCTCCCCAGATGTCCCCCACACTATACATCTCCCCAAATGCCACCCATATAGAACACATCACCCAAATGTCACCCAAATGTCACTGATAACAATAACGACACCCCAAATGTCACTGACACAATACAGGTCACCCCAAATGTCACCCACACAAAACACGCCACACAAAATGGCCCTGAAAATGACACCCCAAATATCACTCATACAGAACATCCCCCCAAATGTCACCCACACGGAACACATCACCCCAAATGTCCCAAACAAAGTACATGCCACACGCACTACATGTCAGCCACACAGAACACATCACCCCATATATCACCCACACAAAGTAGATGTCACCCTAAACATGTTTCAGAACCTTGCAGGATCGCTGCCATAACCAATTCATTCAGGATTCATGGGTGTAATGCCCCTTACATTGGTGGTCAGTAGTGATGTGCCTGGGCTTAGTGTAAACCCAGTTCACCCAAGCCCACTCAACAGTGACCAACATACCCATTCCTGGCCAAATCAGTTGTGGCAGGCGCATTCCCGGACCCACTGCTATATGACTTCCACCACTAATTGGACCAGGAGGTTTTGGGGAGGGGGGTGGTCACAGTTTTGATCACTGTCTGACAAACTGGGTTTGCACCAAGCCCAGGCTCATCAATAGCGGTCAGTGGAAAGAATGTCCGCCTTATACTAGGAGCCAGAATGCCACCCTTAAGTTAGCAATACACTGCTTGAGTTTTGAACGAGTATAAAATACACTGTGTTGTCATGAGAAAGAGGAAGGTAGGAGCATACTATATTTCTGGCACATCAGCAGTTATATTGGTCCACCCAGAACGGTTTGTTGAAGTTTATATTTCTAAGAGACTGCTTGCAAGATGTACAGCAAGTGCTCGAGTTCCTAATTATGTACACCAGCCAATTTCACTATGAGGAGATCTTGACTTTCCTCTTATTTTATTATGGACAAGGTGGGCACAAACAAAGCTAGGAACTATACTTAGGATATCTCACCATTGGAGGCTCAAATAAATTAATCAGAGTACCTACGTACCTCAAGACTTTAGCTGTCATTGAGCCATCAATTGTCTGTATTTATGCTTGAGGCTTTGTTCAATGCCCACCGCATCTGAAGATCTATACACTTTGTGATCTCTGCTGCTGGCCAGATCAGAATCTAGATTGGCTGTTCAGCAAAGATAATGTGACTAACAGTAAGGGGTTGATTTATAAATCTTCAGTTAAACCGTATGCTGGGCGAATGCAGTTATTCCGCACGCTATTCCTGCTACTAGATGGAGCTGAGGAGCATAGGAATGGGTCCCATTGTTTAACAAATAGGTTGAAAAGAGACAAATTACCATCAAGTTCAACTAAAGGCAAAATCAATATTATTATTATTATAATACAGGCTTTATATAGCGCCAGCAGTTTGTGTAGCATTTTCCAAAATAAAGCACTGGCAATGTAATGGCAATGATACCAATAAGATAAGGTAGAGAGGTTTAAAAACGAAGTGTTTAACATTGCGTACTTTCCTGGCAATGACTGAATAGTACTTATAGGTATGTTTAATATTAGGTTTCCTCAAGATTCCAACCTTTTATTCAAACAAAACACCTTTAGCTGGTAGGGCACAACGTGCACATATAGTTATGTCTTACTAATAGACCATATCTATGTGATGAGGTGTGCATTTTGGAGGCTTTCCAAGATGTACTTATTCTTCTCTGCATGACTGACCCTTTATAAGAAATTAAATCCATGTGCCAATATAGACAACTGTACTAACATTGAATCATTTCTCAGGAAGGTTCTATACTTATTAGTGATATAAAACAAAGCTCGGCCTTTTCCTGTATTTGCCAGCATGACTGCTCTAACATTTCCAGAATCACTGTGCATGTAGATTCTGACAATTTGCTTACATGGTGTACAAAAAGTTAATATTCCCTCTGCCTTGCCAAGTATGCTAAAATCTGTCCTTATGTTCCATATGGCATTGCCTTAGAAACTGACAGATGTGAATATTCAGTTAGAGACAATAAGTGTAAAAAAAAGTACGAAAATGAATAAGTTGAATTGAAAGAGAACAAAAATGAGGGAGAGGGAGGGAGTGTATATATAATGGCCACTAGATGGAGCTGAGGAACATAAGTATTTCCTATGCTCCACCTAGTGATGAAATTGCTGTATTTCTCTGATCTCCCATTCAACCTGAAAATAAAATATGCTAATAAAGTTCTTATTTGCCTCTATTTACAGAGAGAACATACCCATAGTTTCGCAGGATGAATGGCTCTGCACATTTTTTAGTAAATACACCCATAAAGTGTATCACTGAAAATGGAATTAAACCCTGTTCACATCTATGCGATGCGGGAATGTGTGCATTCCTGCACTCCACAAGATTGCATGTGGCAATGTCTGGTGCGCTATGGTTTTTTCAAGCATGGTTTAGTTATGGCTCTGCCTTAAAAAAAAAATGTAATAATTGGACGAAACACGTCACTAGCCATACCCAGGGGATCTAATTATCCAAACGGTTCTCATAGTGTTGTGTGCAATTTCTACACAAGAGTGCAACAGCTTTTATATTGTTTTTATGTCATTTTATTAAACAGATTTACGCTATATAAAGTTTACTTCGTATCATTTAGGGCTCTTGCACATAGCTGCAGGAGGGTTGTACAACACACACCCTGGTGTATTGCTCTTGCTGGGTGTGACAGGCGCGCTATACAGCTGCGTGCAGGCAGCCTGTACAAATAAATGACAGGTATGCCAAAGATGCAGCTGTATGGGTATGTATACCCAAATCCCATTGTTTATATGCGTACCAGGACTGACACATACCATTTGGTGCAGTACGCAAGTCCCAGTATCTATGTCAACAGTGGGTTTTGCGTACATGCCCTTATCTGGAATTATATGTGCCAGGAGTTATATATGATCTTATCCACCTGGTGAGAAAGGAGAAGTGCTGAAATGTTATTACCTGGCTATAATGTGAAGGGGGAATTATGGAGAACCAAAAAGATGAGCATTTTTACCTTTCTGAGTTGGGAAGGTAATAAAATTGGTTGGCAATTTGTTACATAAGAACACTTATCAGGAAAAAAGTTGAGCACGTAGTTTGGAGTGAAGAGAAAATCATGAGTATATAAGAGACTTTCAATAAAGATATTTTTACTTGCAGGGCTTTACATACTACACATTTACATCAGTCCCAATCCACAAAGAGCCAATTAACCTACCAGCATGTCTATGGAGTGTGGAAGAAAACCGGAGCGTCCAGAGAAAACCCACACAAGCACAGGGAGACCTTGCAGACTCCATGCAGAGAGTGACCTGACCAAGATTTGAAATGAGGACTCCAGTGCTGCAAGGCAAACGTGCTAACCAATTAAGGAGCCAATTAACCTACCAGCATGGCTTTGGAGTGTGGAAGAAAACCAGAGGACCCAAAGTAAACCCACATAAGCACAGAGAAAAACACAAAAACTCCATGCAGAGTGCCCTGACTGGAATTTGAACTGGGGACTAAAGTGCATTCTGCAGTATCCATGCTCAATAAGATGTACTCCTCTTATCACACAGAAATGGAATGTGCATTAGAGGAAGAAGCACAAACGACATTATTTTTAAACTGTGAGAAATAAAGGGCCAGGGAATGTTAACTATAAAAAGAAATCAGGAAAGGAAGAGAACCGAATTCCATTTCCTGACACAGAAGCCAAGTGACCACACCTACTCCTCACGATCCTCCTAAAGACTATGCTAGCGGAATGACTCCTACAATTACAGGCGTCTCTAGTCGGTTCTTGTTTGCCCGTTAATTAGAGAGGAGAAAGTTGCTCAATACCTAACAATTCTCATCTGTCACGTTTTTCTGGGAGTTTAAATGCCTGATGACAACTGTGTGCAACAACCATATACTATTTTATATCATTTGTATTTTAGCCATGTATATTGCAGGTTTAGAACTTGCAATTCTCATTTTAAAGAAGAATCAAAATATTAGATATTTATGTATCTATTAGATATTGATATGAAGTAACAAAATCGGCACACCTACTGAATTAAATCATAATCAAGTTATGATAGCACTGCATGCTAAAGCTGGCCATA